AAGTACAATGTTCTTGAGCTCTCAAATGTCTCACGTATCAATCTCTCAATGTTAAGCAACTTAACTACCACAACTAACCAACCAATGTATTTATACCTAAAGAATACAAAGAACAAACTACCTTAAAAAACATGTAAACCTACACAATAAAGCATATTGAAACACAATAAGCACAAGAACTTGAATAAAAAAAATTTAGACTTAACAATATGCAATATTCATTTTTCGATGATAATATGCTTGTTTGAATTCTAGTTTGTTTTCAGTTATGTCGTAAATGATTTTTCATTGACAAATATTTTCTACTCTTTGAATGTCAAATCTGTAAATTGTTCTTACAGATATCTGATCATTTCTTTCTTAAATATTTGTGCTTTGGATCAATCGATATCTTGTGCTTATCTGATTCATATCTTTGATCAAACTAATTTGATCAAATCAAAGTTTATGAGTTGAATTACATGCATCATTATTACTTCATTGAGCATACATAAAAAAATCTTAGGCGAGACTGAGTGCTTATTTAGATATACCCCTATGGACTATCAGAACCGAAAGCCCTACTCAAGAGGATAGCTATACTAAGAAGTGAGCTTAAATGAAAATGGGTATGTGTGTTGAGCTTAAAATGTAAAAGAGAGGGGTAGTATTTGTGATCTTAAAATAACTAAATGAGAGTTGTGTACAAGATTAAAAGAATATCAAAATCCTGCACTAGGTATTATAATGTAACACCCCATACAACACATTGCATGTAACACATACTTCATTCACAAGAAATACATGTTCATATACCACTTAGGTCCCTTAGTACAAGAATCTACCATACATAATACATGGTCCAAAAATTCAAAATACAATCCTTGTACTATTTATCCTTCCTGTAACTATACACATCATGAGCAAATCTTCAAACAGACATGCATAACGGAAAATATCACATTTTCCTTTTCCCTTACCGTCTGCACCTCCTGCAATACATATTTAAAATCACAAAATTGAGGGTTAGACCGGAAGGTCTAGTGAGATCCCTTTTTCTATGTTATTGCAGGGTGAGAATCACCAAAACTTTATTTAAAACAACTTTTCATATATATATATATATATAACAAATATATGAACAAGTAAAAACATAATACCAATACCTTTCCAATTCCAAAGCTAATCTCTCAGCTTTTAAAGAACACATCCAAACCCAAATAGGTTTGTACTAACCAGGTTTCTCTTAATGCACTTTTAAACCTATTTAAATTAAAACAAGGTTCATTCAAAGTTTCAGGCCAAAAACCTGTTATCAACTTCTCAATAACATCTAGACTACGATTTCCAATAAGAACCTTGATCCTAAACCTTTAAATCACAAAAAAGTAAAGATTCCAGATCACCGTAATCTTATAAGATATAATAGTAAGAGTTATATCACATATCACACATACAAATGCCACCCTTTATCCAATGGTACACATCTCCTTGATATACCACCCTTATCCCATGTGTGTCCAATTTCACTGATCAATCTTCATATCTTCATAACAATCATGGCAGATTTGGATTTGTCATGTAAGAACACAATATGAGAGTTGAGAGGAAAAGTCAAACTTGTAAGCTCTGGTCAAACCTCTATTATGAATGTATATTACAATTAGCTCCTCACCTTACTAATTACAAAGATTAA